TTGATTGCCAAACCTTTCCGTGGTTACTTTAAATTTTTCGCTATGCTCTGTTCATTGAATAGAAAGGACACATCTGGACGCATTACTTCAGTGGGCGTAATTTAGCCCATTGTTTTCCAGATATCCTGTTTTATTTCTTCAATCTTTTTTTTTCCTTAATTGCTGAGGGTGGCTTATCTTCAGCGCTATCCAGTTATAGTTACGTCTATTAACAATTTTGTCTCAGCTCCACAATCGGAAAAAATGGTGACTATGAAGATTCTGTGTTTAGCGCAGGTTTTCTCCTTATTTTCTCTGTCTCTCTCTTTTATTACATTTTTTTTGTCTGGATTTTTGTAATTGAAGATAATATAATTTGCTAAGCTACCCTCCTTAGTTGGCGGCGTAACCTTTTAGCGACCGGTTTTTTACGAGATAGTTCTTTAGACAAAAAACAAAGCGTTTCTTCAGTCAAAGAATATTAGCTTTACGCACCTTTTAATTTTTAATGTTTGTCACTGTTGCAAATCAATACCTGTAGATTATTGTGGTTCACTCAATTTCTGTTCTGATGTGTTTTTCATATATTTTTCTTTGTTATATCAAATCGCCGGAAAGCCTGCGGGTGGTCTAAGTTGGTAAAAAGGAGATTCGAAGTTATTCAGTTTATCATGTCTCACATTTAAAACATTTAGCTTATCTTCTCGACATCCCAACCAAAAGTGATTTTCCTCATAAAAGGCAATAGGTTTTAAGATAGCCTTCAAAATCCTGCTTTTATTTCAATATTCTTTGGCAAATGGAAAAAAATGTGCGATTTTATTTTCATGATGTCTAATATTTGTGAACTTATCTCTAAGTACAATAGAAAATGCTAACAAATGCCTGAATTTTCGGGAAGCGATATCGCGCCAAATTTGTAGCTTTGTTTTGCGCTAATTTTCAACCCAGGGATGAATGTGCTTTATCTTCTTTCTCAAAAGAGCTTTTTAAAAGAGAAATTATAACTAACAAAGTTTCTTTGTTAGTGATATCAACAATCTGAGATGATGAAAATTTGGGGGCAGCAAAACTTTTATCCTCTCTGCCGGAATATCTCTCTTCATAAATGCTTTTAGAGTAAAACAACCTAATGGCTTATCTGAGTGGAGTACAGATTGTTTTAAGTGGTTTCCAATTTCAGCTAAAAAACAGGAGAGCTAATTAAGTTTGTTTGGAATTGTCTTGTGTTATGATATACATACAGTACATAACATCAAAATGTGAAGGAAAATCAAGGAAACCTTCGGGGGAAGATAAAAATGTTAGGTATCTTTACATAATTTTATCTTTGAAGCAGTTTAATTTTTCTTTCTTCAATTGTTGCAGTATTTCCGTTGAGGGCAGATGGCAATTTACGAATGATAATTTCTCGGCACTGTTACCCCAAACGGATATATCAGATTTGCTGATGTATACTCTTTGATTTTATACCTTATTCATTTTTATCATTTTGAAGTCAAATAAGACGAATTTCATGACTGAATCGTCCACTTTTTTTTTTAAGTTAGGGAAGAACTAATATTTTAACACAACAAAAATACAATTCCCCGATTCCATTATTAGATCCGATCCAAAGCTTCTTGCTCGCTGGTTATGTTTTGAAAAGCAAACAAAAATTATTATTAAAATGTATCGGATGTTGCAGATGGCTCAGAAAAATATGAATAAATTCGTTATCCTCGAACAAAAGCTCATCATTTCCAGCTATAAATCTCACAGATAGCGAGAACATACTTCAAATTTAGTAACAAAGTTTTATGTACGCGATTTTAGTCTTCGGGACATCTGGATATTGGCGTCAAGCTTAACTGAAGACAGTTGTTAATTCTCAAATAGCAGACTCCCTTTTACTAAAGTATGCGGAGAAAAATGTCTTTTATTAAGGCGCAATTCTTCAAATTTGTCTCAATATTGAACGACAAAAATTTAATGCTCTCCAGGTTTCCAGTAATACATTAGTGATACAAAAAATTATTTTTTTAAAATTTTTTTATTCACATTAAACGAAAGTAAACAAAGTTATCGTAGATGAAGAGAGAGTTGCAAATTAGTACAGGTGTTTCTCTCTATTGAAAACCATTTTCTTTCGTGTTTTTTTATATGGTTACGGTTAGATGAGAGAAAATGACGAGAAAAGAGTGCCTGGAGCCTCTTTAGTATCAGAGCATCAGATTTTTCTTTTTCTTTTGCGCATGTATTTTATCAAGTATAGCGTGAGATCTTCAGGGATCTATCTTAAAGATTACATGATGATCTACTCAGCCATGGAGAAAAGGAAAAAAAAATTACTATGTTCGTTAAAAAGTGATACAGGCAGAGCTAATTTGCTGATTTTGCTAAATAAACTACGTACCGAAAGGCTGAATGCGTCTGAGCAAATGGAAGGAAGACTAGATAAAAAACTTTTCATTCATTATAGATTTAAAGGATATTTAAAGGATATTTAAAGAGTAAGACGCAGCCTCTTTCCCTTTCGATTCCTTTCAATTTTATTAAAAGAGAAACAAACATAATTATCACCCAAATGAGACCCCAGAGATGAGTTATAGAAGTTATCTTATGAAAACATCCATCAACTGCTTCAACCTTGAAAATTCTTGTGTGTCAGCTGTGATCAGGAACAAGTTGTTAAGACAAATTATCAATTCAACTTGCCGCAGCTAGCCTCTGACTCGCTACGCTTCTGAAAAATATAATACATCAGAAGCAAAGATACAGCGGCAATAATAGAGTATCATACCTTTAAAAACCTAAAAACATGAAATTGAATAGTAAATGTATATGTGTATATATATATATGTGTATATATATATATATATATATATATATATATATACATAAGTTAATGAATTAAAGAGGACGCATTGATTCTCTTTGACTGAGTTTCGCGCCTAAGCGCCCGTCAGACAGAAAGTTCGGTCTGACGAGAGCTTAGGCGCGAAACTCAGAGTCGCAGAGAATCGATGCTTCCTCTTTAATTCTTTAACTTATGTATACTTAGCTCTACTACCACAGCATTGAGCACTTTATACCAAGGTAGACTCTACCCCCACATTCATTTATATATATATATATATATATATATATATACTCCATATATATATAAAGTCCATCTTAATCCACAAGTACCTACCATGGCAAAAGAAAAGCAACACAACATTCGACGTGGCAATGGGAAGCTACGACGGCGCTGAAACATTTGAACTCGTGGGAAGCTTTCTGCTCTCCCAACTCCAGGATCTTAATATAAGCGTAGGACTTTACCGAGACGACGGACTGGCCATCATTAACGCCACACCTAAAGACACAGAGAACATCAATAGAGAAATATGTCGCATCTTTGATAATAACGCTCTACGCATCACCATAGAAGCTAAAAAACAAATAATCAACTTCCTAGACGTCACATTTAATCTTGAGCGAAGCACTTATCAGCCATTTACAAAGCCGAATACTTCACTGCAATACGTTCACCGCGAGATTAACCACCCGCCAACCACCATAAAGAACAATCCCGCCGGCATCAACAAACGACCGTCGTCCTTATCATCTGACAAAGCATCCTTTGACCAAGCCGCTCCTCCATACCAGAAAGCACTCGACGAAAGTGGATACCTCTACACATTACAGTACGAACCAACCAAAACGAGCAAACGGAAAAACCGACAACACAATAACATCCTCTGATACAACCCCCCTTTTAGCAAGAACACCAGCACCAACATAGGGCACAAATTCCTCGCCCTAGTAGACAAGCACTTTCCCAAAGATCACAAACTCAGAAAAATCTTCAACCGACTGAAGATCAGTTACAGCTGCATGAACCACACGGAACAGATAATCGACAGCCATAACAAACGCATCCCAACCGCACCTATACAGAATGATAATACCGCCACCGCTACCATTAATAACAAGACGTGCGACTGCCGGCAAAAGAACGCATGCCCACTCGACGGAAACTGCCTGCAACCATCAGTAATTTACCAAGCCACCGTTACACGCAAAGACAACAACACGACAGAAACGTACATCAGACTCACAGAGAACGACTTTAAAACAAGATACAGAAACCACACCGCATTATTCCGCCACGCTAAACATAGAAAATCCACCGAACTCAGCAAGCACATCTGGACCCTCAAAGACAACAACATCGAACACTTTATTTCCTGGTGCATTCTCTCATCACACTCGCCGTACAACAGCTCAAGTAAAAGATGTAATCTCTACCTCAAAGAAAAATTCCTAATCATCTGCCGACCCGAACTATCAACACTAAACAAATGTAATGAACTCGTGTCTTCCTGCCGCCACAGAAACAAAGCCCTCCTACGCAACAACTAAATTGTTAAATTTCGCGCTGCATTAATTAGATTATATTGTATTTAAGTGATGGTAAAGATTATTCTCGTTAAGTCCCCTGATAAGTGGGCGACCACAAAACAGGGTGGCAGGGATGAACTTGTAGTTTATTTGCCTTTTTCCTCCCACAATACATACATCGTTCTAGTCCTATGTATTGAGCACTGTTTTACGAAAGTCAAAATTTTACTCTTTATATATATTTATAATAAAGTTCGGATATAACGCGCGCTCTCATTGGTTGAAAGAGCGTGCTCTATAAGAGCATACCAGGCGCCTTTTTTCCGATAATTGAAAGTGAAATTTCGGAACAAGCGAGCCGGCAAGTAGTAACAGAAGAACCAAAGAAAGGTTTGTAAACATACCAGGCGCCGTTGTTTACGTTATTAAAACGTGGGCAGATACGAAAATCCTCAAAGGAAAAACAAAATAGACATTCCGAGTTTTAAAGATTTTCATGCTCAGTTAGATTGCTTATGTACGGTAATGAAAATCAAACACAGCCAACACTCGTATAGTCTATAGAGTTCAGAGTTCAAAAACAAACAGAACAAAACAGGAATGATGAAAAATATAACCAAACTGGCATAATTGTTAAAATTCATACTAATCAT